ATATTATATTATATTATATTATATTATATTATATTATATTATATTATATTATAAAAATACCCACTAGGGAGCACAAGCCGGTCCAAAGCCCAAATAAATGGTGAGGGTTGTGTCAGGAAGGGCATCCAATGTTAAACTCTTTTGCCAAAACTAACATGAAAGTTCATCTAAGACCACCACCGGTGCTGCTGACAAACAGGGTGCAGGCGAAAAATGTGCTACTGTTAGTTGAAGACTACGAGGAGAGAAACGTGTCAGGAGACAGAAGGAGGAGGTAAGTTGAGAGTAAATAAATGAGGGTGGCAACTTTAAATGTGAGGGCAATAACAGGCAAAGGTAGAGAGCTGACTGACATGATGCAGAGAAGGAAGGTAGATGCTTTATGTGTCCAACAGACCAAATGAAAGAACAGCAAGGTTTGCAGCATTGGAGCAGAATTTAAACTGTTTTACCATGGTGTGGATAGAAAGAGAAATGGCCTAGGGATAGTCCAGAAGGAAGAGTTAACAAAGAATGTAGTAGAGGTGAAAAGAGTGTCAGATAGGGTTATATGTCTGAAGGTAGAAATATAATTCATTCAATTCAACCTTTATGTATACAGGTTAATCCCATTGAGCCTTGGGGACTCATTTACAAGAGAGACCTGAATTTTTAACAAAGAATGATGACAACAGTGGACAATAAAGACAACAATAGACAATCATAAAAGATGCTTACTTTTTTTTAAAACAAGTTAAAATAAAATGGCAACCAAAAGGACGATCAAAAGCAAAAAACCAGCTAGATTGTAAGGCGGTGCAGAAAACTAAAAACAGGAACATGTCCGCATTGGTTTTTGCCAGGAACTTAACAGATGTTTAAAGCCACACTGCCTGATGCTAAATGTTGGCAGGGGTTATGCTGCACAGGTTGGATGTGATGTGGAGAAGAAAGATAAATTTTGGAAAGATCTGGATGAAGTGATAGAGAGTATACCCAAAGAGGAGAGAGTGGTGATCGAAGCAGACCTGAATGAACATGTTGGTGAAGGAAACAGAGGGGATGAGGAAGTGATGGATAGGTTTGGTGTCAAAGAAAGAAACCTGGAAGGACAGATGGTGGTGGATTTTGACAAGAGAATAAAAATGGATGTAGTTTTCAAAAGAGAGAGTGACATATTTGAGTGGAGGCAGGACTACATTCTGAAGAGGAAACCAGAGGGAGATTGGAGACTGTAAGGTTGTGGCAGGAGAGAGCGTGGCCAGACAGCATTGGATGGTTGTATGTAGAATGACTGTTGTTGTGAAGAAGAGAAAAAGAGTAAAATCAGAGAAGAAGACCAAATGGTGGAAGCTGAAGAAGGAAGAATGTTGTGAGAAATTCAGAGAGGAGCTGTTAAAGGCTCTGGGTAGTAAGAAAGAGTTTCCAAATGCTACAGCAACAGTAGAGAGACAGGTATGAAGGTACTTGGTGTGTCATCTGAACAGAGAAAAGATGATCAGGAAACCTGGTGGTGGAATAGTGAAGTGCAGGAAGTTATTCAGAGAAAGTTAGTCAAGAAGAAATATGACAGTGAGACTTGAAGAGAGTAGACAGAAATATAAGGAGATACAACGTAGAGCAAAGAGGGAGGAAGCTAAGGTAAAGTAGAAGGTGTATGATGAGGAGGATGGACATTAAAGTGGACAAGAAGGCCTTGCATCAATTGGCGAGACAGAGGGATCAGGCTGGAAAAAACGTGCAACAGGTTAGGCTTGTGAAAAACAGGAATGGTAATGTTCTAACAAGTGAGGAGACCGTGACGGGAAAATGGAAGGAGTACTTTGAGGAGCTAATTAATGAAGAGAATGAAAGAGAAAGAAGACTAATGGTCCCATAAACTGTGAACCTGGAAGTGGGAAAGATTAGTGAGGGTGAAGTCCAGAAATCTCTCAAAAGAATGACGAAGGGGAAGGCAGTAGGACCCGATGATATACCAGTGAAGATTTGGAAATGTCTTGGAGAGATGGCAGTGATGTTTTTGAGAGGGTCAGAAATAACTCCATTGTGTCTTGGTGGATTTAGAAAAACCATATGACAGAGTGCCAAGGGAGGAGGTGTGGTATTGCATGATGAAATCTGGAGTGGTAGAAAAGTATGTTAGACTGGTACAGGACATATATGAAGACAGCAGGACAGTGGTGAGATGTTTTCTAGGAGTGACGGATAGCTTCAAGGTGGAGGTGGGATTGCATCATCGTCATTGCAACATCTGAGTCCCTTCTTGTTTGCTTTGGGGATGGACCGACTAACAGATGAGGTCAGGAAGGGATCCCCATGGACTATGATGATATTGTGATCTGTGGTGAGAACAGGGAACAGGTGAAGAGAACTTGGAGAGGTGGAGGTATGCACTTGAAAGAAGAGGAATGAAAGGCAGCCGTAGTAAAACTGACATGTGTGTAAAGGGAGGCTGGTGGAACAGTGAGGCTACAAGGAGCAGAGGTCACAAAGGTGAAAAGAGAGAGTCCAGGCAGGATGGAGAAAAGTTTCAGGAGTAATTTGTGACAAAAGGGTGTCAGCAAAGGTCAAAGGAAAAGTTTACAAGACAGTAGTGAGACCAGCTAAAGTGTATGGTGTTGACAAAAAGACAGGAGAAAAAACTGGAAGTGGCAGAAATGAAGATGTTGAGCTTCTACTTAGGAGTGACAAGGATGGATAAGATTAGAAATGAGATCATCAGAGGTACAGCACAGGCTGAACAACTGGGAGATAAAGTTAGAGAGGACACACTGATATGGTTTTGAACATGTCCAGAGGAGGGACAGTGAGTATATTGGCAGAAGGATGTTAGAAATGCAGCTGCCAGGAAAAAGACAAAAAGAAAGGCCAATAAACATATGCAGTTAGAGAGGACATGGGGGTAGATGGAGTGAGGACAGAGGATGCAGAGGACAGAGTGAGAGGGAGGAGGATGACTCGCTGTGGCGAACCCTAAAGAGGGAAAAGCTGAAAGAAGATATATTATATTACGTTATATTATATCATATTATATTACATTATATTACATTAATTATTCTGTGTTGACAGGCACATTCCAGGCCAACAGATGGCGCAGGCGCAGTAAAGGCGGGCGTGTATCAGTAGAAGAAGTTTGTCAGTCGCTCCTCTCTGAGCCTCAGAAGGTGTCTCCTCGCTCTCACAGCCGTCAGACGCGGCTAGTCCACCCTGAAGAGACACTGCTCTGTCCCCAGTCCCTCCAAACAAACTTTTCCCGGTGATACCGACTGCTGGTTTCCACCATGGCGACGAGCGCGAAGCGAAAGCAGGAGGAGACTCATCTAAAGATGCTCCGGGAAATGACTAGCCTACCCGCGAATAGGAAATGCTTCGACTGTGACCAACGCGGCCCCACTTATGTCAACATGACAGTGGGTTCCTTCGTCTGCACCACCTGCTCCGGGATCCTGTGAGTGTCCTTTTCACTTCAGATTTTCTTGGTTCACGCGGTCCCACCAGGAGCGCGCGAGGCGCCGCCGCCGTCAGGGTGTCCGGTACCGTTAGCTCGTTAGCTGACGTCGGGACAGGTAACGTTGAGGTTCTTCCCGAGGCCGTTGGGTTGGGCTCGGTTCACTGCTGTTTTCAACATGTTCTGTTCGGTGGAGGCTCGGTGTCGGACGCCTCTTGTCTGTCTCGTGAAGGTGAGCGCGACCAACGTTTGGCTCATTTAGGGGAAAGCTGCACGTCATGGTGGCGCGTCTTGATTGTTTATGTTGTGTTGGGACCAGCGAAAAGGCCAACTACATCCCTCCAGGTCTCCAGTTCGTGTTGGTCTTCAGCAGGAAATCCTCATGAAATCACTGCCAGGAGTTGAGCAGTTAAACTTCCAGATGTGGCCAACGGTTCTTCTCCTGCTGCTTGTGTGGTCACGTGAGTTGGACTCGGATGTTGCAAGAGTCCATCCAGTCAGGGTGTGGAGATGCTGCGTTGGTCAAAACTACTTTATCCTTTTTTACTGTGTCGACTGTGACTTTGAGGCTGAAAACCTTGTTACTATTTCAGCTAAGAGTCTGATTCCCCACCAGGTTTAAAGGGTACACAGTGTTTCAAAATTATTACCTGAAAGCATCTTCCGTCTTTGAATGGCTGTGTCTCATTAACCTGCACCAGACAAACTCTAGTTTTAAAGTAGTCCTTGCTGCATGATGCATTGAGACCCATGGTTCTCCACTAGTGGTACAAGAACCACCGGTGCTACTCAAGATCCCTCTTGTGAAACTCTAGATACATTTTTATTATCAAGTATTTCTAAAATAATTAACAATCTAAACAAGACATGCACTGAACGGTGATGTAAAGCTAAAATGCAGTGAGAAGAAGATTAGTGGCTCTAAATGGAAACTATACAAAAAACTGGAGTGGAGACTATTTTGATAACCCCTGCAGAACCTGGAGTGGACGGTGGTCAGCGAATATACTACTAAAGCTCACTTAAATGGCAACAGTAAATTCTCTGTAGGACCTACAGAACAACAAAATGTGCAAAACGAATGCATTTGAGTCAAATTACTTCTCATGTAAAGTCAGTAATTGTGAGGCAGACTACAGTGTGCTGATTTTATTAAGAAATGCACGGACCCATTATCTCATACACTACAACCTTCAATCAGAGTTAGAGGTTTAGCCAGTTGAATTATTTATGTCAAATACAAATATAAGTTTGGATGATCTTTTTTTTTTAATGTCTGTAAATGGACTGTACTTGTATAGCACCTTTCTATCTTATTGAGACACTCAAAGTGCTTGACACTACAATCTGTGCCTCATTTACCCGTTCATACAGCACTCTACTAGATCTCTACAAAGCTAATTGAACAAATCATTCTAAAGAGACTAATCAGAGCTTTATCACATTCATACACTGATGGGACGCACATCAGAAGCAACGAGGGGTTCAGTGTCTTGCCCAGGGACACTTTGATATGTGACTGCTCTGGGGTTCGAACCCCCAACTCTTGCATTGGAGGACGGCTGCTCTAACCACTCAGCCACAGCCGTCTGTTAGTGGTATTTTGTAACAGACAGTTCTAGACAAACTCGCTGGCTGACCGATTTTGATCTCATCAGTTACCAAGTCGAAAAATGAAAATGCAGCTGCTACAATTGGCTTATACTGCAGTCAACGACAGCTCTTCTATGTATTTTTTATAAGTGTATGTTATTTTGAGTTGTTCAAACTGTCCTGATTTCTAAAGATTGGCATCAATCTCAGCCTTAGGAAAACTAAACTGGTCAGCCTCTAGATCATATGTGTCAAAATCAAGGCCCGGGGGGCAAATGTGGCCCTCCTTAACATCTTCTCCGGCCCCCAAGATGTTATTTTAAATGTAAAATACTTTTATGACATTTTTTCAGTAATCTTTGATTATGATGTCAAAACTGCAACAGAAAACATCCAATGAGACCAATCAAACTCTTGTTGAGGAACCTGCAACCAAGAAAAGATGTTGGATATCTAACGAGTTAATGTCGATTCTGAAACCGGCCCTTGCTTTGAAAAAGGTTTTAATTTTGTCCCCTTGTGTAAGTGGGTTTGACACCCCTGCCCTAGATGGACATCAAGGCATCCACTCCACCTTCTTTTTGTTGTTGGGAATTAAAGCCAGTAGGCTCTGGTTTACGGAGGCTGCCATCTTGTATTTTAGGAAGCAGAGTCTGCACTTGAGATGTTTTTTTATTTATTTTATCCTGTCTTCTCTCACGCACACAGTTGCGATGTCATATGACCTTTCTTTTAAGTATAAAATACCACAACTGGAACATAAAACTTGTACTGGGAAGGTGGTCCCATTCCAGCTTCAACTTCCCAGTTCTGGTCTGAGGTCTAGATATACAGTATGCAGTGTGTGGTTTCAACCCTTTTCATCACATTGCTGAAAATAATGATCATTCTTACAAACGTAATGACTTGCAGTTATGATTTTTCTATAGCTCATTAAAGACAGATCTATAGGAATATTCACTGTACATGACTCTGACCGTGCAGAGGTAAACTCTGATATTTTATGGGATGCAGTCAAAGCTATTCAAACAGGAATGGTGATCTCCAGAATGGTCAGACTGAAAAAGTTAAAAAGTCCAAACTTGATTACTAAAGGAAGAACATGCAAATGTTCTAGTCTGGAACCTGTATCATACAACAAAGTGGTGATCTTGACATATGGAAGATGTGGAGAAAGCATACGATTCGTGGAACAACATTGTGATATTTGTACGGCAGCACAATACTTACCATGGAGCTCAAAAACAAACGGAGAATACCAGTTACCGGTAAATTATTCCTAATCCTCTGTATAAAATGACTTTGAAATGCTATATAAAGTCCAGGTATAGATGTACAGTGTTTTTAGTTGGTAAATTTCTTTACACCTTCCTGTGCTTCGTGGAGAGGCTAAAGATAAGCTGGGTTTTGCCAATAACATAAGGAAAAATGATGAGGCTATCTCAAACAAAAGCTGATAAGTCATTACAGAGGCTTTTCTTCCAGAATGGTAAACACATTTGCTACTTTTATTAGTGGCTTATCTTAAATTTGCCTTAAAAAGATTTCATTCCATTATCTTGAAAACTAGCCTTCAAAGTAGTTATCTGTAAAAACGCCGAGGACAAAACAACTTGTAAAGCAAATAGGCCCGCTTGTGTCTTCAGTAAGTTGAGATAAAATGTATGTCACTCTATCAAAGAGGACACGGACTGTTCCATCTTTTAAGATTCATTGAAAGCAGGATTATGAAAAATAGCCAAACTCAAGATAATTCAAGGTTTCACAGATGAGTAGTGATTAACACCTTTGTTCTTGTTTGGTATATTTTTTGGTTTTATGTGCAGTTCTCTTTTTTTTTTTATTTGTGAGAAAAATCACAAGCGGTTATTCAAGTAGCTCTTATACCCAGGCCATTTCAATTTGGGTCACCTCTTTAAGCATTAGGCTGCATGGGTTGTCTGTTGTCTGATGTATGCGTGTCACTGACGGTACATACGTGTAACTACTGCTACAGTATTAATTCAGCTCCTTTGCACTCACCAAATGTCTTTCCCTGGTTTGTTGCATCCCTGAGATTTTCTCCAACGGTTGTTGTACGATCGCCCTGATACAACATTTTCTGCAGCGTTGACCGTTGTGTCTGAACAAAGTCGTTTTCATGACCTTGTCTTAAACAGGGTTGTAGTCTAGGCATGAGTTTATGGTTAGTCCTAGTGCTGAGGCATGCTTAGTCCTGCTTCAAATGCTTGATCAAACCATGCCAGTGTGTGCTACCACACCCCACCCAAGACCCAGATACTCTGCCGTAGCCGTAATAAACCACCCTGACCTGGCTACAGGTGCTTTGTGCGTGCTCAGAACCATCATAGATCTATCACACTCTGTCATGTGTAATGTGGAGTGCACTGTGTTCTAAATTTGCCCCAAGATACTGCAAAGACCATCCGCGTTCCAGCAGATTTTATTAATTAATTTCAGTTTTTTCTTCAAAAACAGCCTGATATATATATATATATATATATATATATATTTACCTCTCAATCCAATGTAACAGATTGTTTATTTTTATGTATGTTTTATTTAACTCTGTGTGTAATATGGAGGCCTTAAGTTAATTTATTGAAACTTAATGTTTCTGTTCAGTGCCCTGACATGACTTCTGCTGTGACTTGGCACTATATAAATAAATTGAATTGAGTTGAATTGAAATTAACAATATTAAGCACAGACCTCATCTACTTAGAAATGCTGTTTTTCTTTTAAAAAATTGTTTCTAAAAATATTCTTGTAAATATGTTACAATTTCTAAAAATGGCTTCATCAATGCAGAAAGCGACACAAAATACTGTATTAGCTATGCCGGGACTGTCTGTGGCGCCGTAACGCTGCCACAAAAGTACACCAAAATGGGAAACAAGGCTGGGCTGGGCATAAAGCATGCACAGAACATGGAACAAATTCTAAACAAGACGAGAATAAAAAGAGAAGAATAGGGATAACGAGCCACAAGTGAACTTTTCTGTGGATTGATGAAAAAATTGTTATACTTTGTGTCCCATAAAATGCGAAACTCCAAACGTACAGGACAGTGTTGACTGAAAGCCATGTTGGTCCAAATATGCAGATGTTTTCCAGGCCCAGTGCCCAGCTTGGGACGTGTGAAGGGAATGATTTTTCTCAGTGTTTAAAACCAATCTGACATAGTTTCCTATACACAAGTGTTGATCTTTTAAAACCATTCCCATATCCCCAGGGGTTTTAAATGTATACTTGTTGTATAATGTACATCTTTTTCTGTATTATGTTTTTAGTATTATTGACAGAGAATATTAAACAGTGTGAAAAACCTATTTGACCATTAGGGTTATAAACTCAATCATCCAGGTAGATAACAATAAAAAAGGTTAAATGGGATGGGGGACGAAATGTTTCTCACTGAAAGAAACTCGTCCAGATGACACGATTTAACCTTTTTTTTGTTATTTGACCATTAGGTTATTTGGTGTAATAATAAGGAATGAGCACTTAGCACCAGTAACACAAATGTAAACCATGTAATGTGTTATATTTGTCACACCACGGTTAAAGATTAGGCAGGAGGTGGAACTATAACGTTTTAAAAAAGTTGGGTTTTGACGGATTGGTTCTGTCTAGAACCCATTTTCAAAAATACAATGTTGGGGCTCCTAAAACCATGTTTCCATGTGGATGCGAGGCTAAATGTTTTAAATTAAGCTTATGCACAAAACGTCATTCCTGTGTGGATGTGGCCCTAGTCTTTGCTACTTTTAGGATAAATTCACATTTCACAAATCAATACGTCTCTAATGTTTAGTGCTTCGGTTTTTCTAAGAAAATCTTCAAATATGAACACCAAAGTTCATGCTCAATAATCCAGGTACAAATCCAACAAAGTTCAGTCAGGTCATCTGGACGGTTTCTTATTTTGCGGAGACGTTTCGTCCTTCATCCAAAGGACTTCTTCAGTCCGAGGAGCCACCAACTGTAGTGCACACCCATAGTGGAAAAAAAAAACGGTTACCTGCTTGTGGGACTCAGTTTGTTGGCGGCTCTTCTGTTTCAGCAAGTCCTTTGGATGAAAGATGAAACGTCTCAGCAAAAAAATAAACTGTCCAGATGACCTGACTGAACATTCCATCCATCCATTCTCTTCCGCTTATCCGGGGTCGGGTCGCGGGGGTAGCAGCCTAAGTAGGGAGTCCCAGGCTTCCCTCTCCCCATCCACTTGGGCCAGCTCCTCTGGGGGAATCTGGGAGAAAACTCATTTTGGCCTCTTGTATCCGAGATCTCGTTCTTTCGGTAACAACCCAAAGCTCATGACCATAGATGAGGGTAGGAACGTAGATCGACCGGTAAATTGAGAGCTTTGCCTTTTGACTCAGCTCTCTCTTCACCACGACAGACCAGTACAGCGCCCGCTTCACTGCAGACGCTGCACCTATCCATCTATCGATCTCACGCTCCATTTTCCCCTCATTTGTGAACAAGACCCCGAGATACTTAAACTTCTGCACTGGGGCAGGACCTCCTCCCCAACCCGGAGAGGGCACTCTACCCTTTTCTGGCTCAAGACCATGGCCTTGGATTTGGAGGAACTGATCTTCATCCTGGCTGCATCACACTCGGCTGCGAACCGCTCTAGCGAAAGCTGTAGATCACGACCTGATGAAGCCAATAGGACCACAT